AGAAGATATAGGGATAAAACAGCACGTAGGAACGTAGAAGTAATGCTATTGCAGCGTTTCTGATTCTGAGTTTCGTATAATTTCCAGTTAGTGTTAAATTGCATCGAGTATGCGACGTTACTTTCATATATTTATTTTTATTTTATGTAAGATAAAATAATAAAAATTACGGTACCGTACCCGATATAAACTGTTTACAATTTTAGTTATGTCTTTACAGTTCTGTTATTATATACATTAGGAATAGATTCTCCACACGATTAAAATACTGTAATTATATAAAGATATATATATTGAAATATATACATTTTTCAAAAAGGATATTTACTATAACAAGAGATATCAAATATGGGCAAAAAGAAAACATACAAAGCAGTAATGCTGTTTAAAAAAAAGAATGCAGTTTCAGAGATGTTCCCTCCCATGAATGCTGAAGTTATGGAACGAGTTCTCTGTCGAGGTTTTTCCAAAAGACTACAGCATGGGTTTCTTCAAGAAAAGGGGTAAAGAAGTTTCTTTAGGATCGGTAACGCGCGCGTATTTTTTATTTTTCTTGGTACTGCACGCGTTCATAGGCTTCGGGAACTGCTTACCGTCAGGTGGAATGCTTGTTTGCCACCTCGGTGGCATAAAAAAGGATATAATTTAATGATTTATTATACTTTTTTTATTCAACAAAGAAAAAATTTATTATACAAATTTTTTAAAAAAATATTAATTGTACAAGATTTTTAACTAGAGGGAGACTTTGTACAAAAGCCGTTTGCTTGGGTACCTCTGTCCCATTCGTGTTTCTACCGTGAAGCAGTTGTGTTTGCATGGCTGTGTTTCGATTTAATGGGTAGGATATTGCAGTGAATATACAGGATATAGAGGCATAACACTTATTAGCCTAGTCTTCAGGAATGGCAATGCATGGGGAACATCATGGGCGACATAGTATATTCTGTTATGTCTATGGTACTGCTCATGTCTATAGGCGACGGTTACCACTTTCCATCAGGTGGGCCGTCAGCTTGTTTGACATTCTAAGTTGCATAAAAAATAAATTAAACCTTGACCTTTCTTACAGTTTAGCCCGACCTTTTCACTTGTTTTCTGCTGTAAACGTATTAGTTCCAGTTTTTGTTGTTTCAGCCGTTAACTGTCCACTGCTGGACATAAGCCTTCCTCATAAGTGGAGTTTGGCCAGTAGTTGTCACGTTTGGCAGGCGGGTTGGCAACCGCAGTTAGGCTTTAGAGATGTTTTAAAAGGGACGCTGCTGCCCATTCCTCGCCCTCCCTTAATCGCCTCTTACGACACCCACGGAAAAGGTAGGGGCCGCCCATTCTATGTCGGGGCACACACGGCGATTCTGCATTAATTCTAGTGAATACAGAAAATTAAATGTTTGATAGAATTTGAATGAGGCGCGCCGTCGGTTCTTTCATGTATCTCCACACTTTGATGGGATTGGCAATTTGAACGGTGGCGCCCACTTATGGGGAGCATTGGGGTCCGTGTTACAGTACAGTTGGGTACAACTACACTAAGAGAAAAAAAAAAAGATTATAAAATATTATTCGATTATAACAAAGTGAGTGGTAGTGCCCAATTAGAGTAGCATTTGCACTCGTGTTCCTAAATATGTATCTAGTACAATTGCGTAAAATTACATAAAAAAATAAAAATATATATATTAAATATAACGGTCAAGTGTCCATTATTGAATATAGATCTCCTCCACAATGGAGGTTTTACTAGTAGTTGCCAGGCTTGGCAGGTAGGTTGGCAACACATTTAATCAAAAGAATGCTAATGATTAAGAACGATTACATTCACGTGTATATAAGGTATCGTACGCGACCAATGTTTACTAAGAGTAAAGAAAAAGTCGATTGCTTTAAAACATGAATGGGACAGAGTTACCCACCTCTGTCCCATTCGTGTTTCAACCGTAAAATAGTTGTGTTTGCATGGCTGTGTCTTGGTTTGAAGGGTGTGAATTTACTGGGTACAGAGGAATAACATCTGAATCCTCAGGAATGACAACGCATGGGGGGTATCATAGACGAAACAGTATGTGTGTGTACTGTTATGTCCATGGTACTGCTCATGTCTATAGGCGACGGTTACCACTTTCCATCAGGTGGACCGTCAGCTTGTTTGCCGTTCTAAGTTGTATAAAAAAAAATATATTACCCATGTGTATACATATACCAAAAATGGACAAAATCACTGTACAAAAATAGTTTTCGTATTTTATTTTATTTTATTGGTCACATAAACAGCGGCGTTCCTTAAAACACTTAAATAATAGTTAACTTGTGATTGCCAATAACCAATTACATTATTTATATCAAAATATCTAGTTTTGTCACATTTAAAGTCTTTTTTTTTTTGTGAATAATTTGTTAATTATATAATATATAATAATTACTCACACCTCTAAAGAGAAATAATAAAATTATTGATAATCATCTCCTTTTTTAGAGTCGGTTAAAATTACAATATCTCACTGTTAGCTATTTGAAATTCAGTACATTTGTTTTGCAGATACACTTCAATCGATAACGCCCGAGGCACATGATCAGTACTACATATTAATAAGTAGATAAGACCGATAATAAGTTGTTTCTTTCATATCGGATTACTCATACCATATATATTATGATAATTAATGAGTGTTTCACAAAAAAAAAAAGACTTTAAATGTGACAAAACTAGATATTTTGAAATAAATAATGTAATTGGATTATAACCTAGCCGAATCACAAATGTAACTATTATTAAATTTTTTTTATGGTTGTGATCTAATTTATGTGCCAATAAAATAAAATAAAATAAAAACTATTTTTGTACAGTGATTTTGTTTTTTGATACAATGTCCATGGAACCAATCTGTAATTTTTTTTTTATACGACTTAGAATTGCAAACAAGCTGACGGCCCACGTGATGGAAAGTGGTAACCGTCGCCTATAAACATAAGCAGTACCATGGACATAACAGTACACACACATACCGTTTCGCCCATGATATCCCCCATGCGTTGCCATTCCTGAGGACTCAGGTGTTATACCTCTGTACCCTGTAAATTCACGCCATATCCCACCCTTCAAACCGAAACACAGCCATGCAAACACAACTGCTTCACGGTAGAAACACGAATGGGACAGAGGTACCCAAGCAATCGACTTTTGTACAAAGTCTCCCTCTGGTAAATATATATCCTTTAAATATATCTTGTAAATATATCCTTTCAGATAAGAAAATAAATTTCCAAATTGCTCTACAACTGTCTGATGTAACAAATATAAAAAAAAAATTAACCGAATTGAGAAGCCCTCATTTTGGTGTCGGTTAAAATATATTTTAGTACATAATTGTATAAAGTTAATTAAGCTAATGATATTTGATTGTTTGTTACTCGGTTAAACAGAGAACTTATTTAAATTTCTAAGTGGCCTCTCAAAGAAGAAGGTTTTTAATTCGACAGTGCTTTACATTTGTTACGCTATATTTGCGTTAAATTTTGCTCTGATTTAATTATTATTGTTCATATAATGCATAGTTTTCTCTCCAGTTGGTTCTATATTAATTTTGTAAGGATGGAAAAAAAATACTGATATTTTTACAAAGTTTCACTGAAATAGAAAAATTATTAAAATGCAGGACTTGAATGCACGGGATCCGGCATGACGTGGGGTCCATCGCTCTAACTAGTTAAGCTACCACTTTACTGGACGCATGCTTTGAAATTTTTTAATATCTTATTAATTATAAGAATATGATTTTTTTTATATTTTAATATTTCTATTTCATCTGACAATTATGTAGTAAATTGCCAAATGAGAAATGCTTTTTATATTCAAGAATAATTCAAAAATAATTTGTTTTGTTTGATGTTGATATTTCTCTTATATCTGAGCAGTTATTTATCGTCCGATATTAATATATATATATATATATATACATATATATACGTATGTATACATGTACAATGTACAATACATGTGTGATGTATGTAATATGAGTATCATACTGTTATCGTTTAATATTGTTTAATACGTCGCACCGTTTATTATATTTTCCGCCATTTACATTTGTTAGGTGTATTAAAGTTTAATAAATAAATAAATAATTCAAACTACTATGATATATACAATTTATTATTTAAAAATTATCAACGCATTCATTTCAGAAATAATATTGTAAAAACATTAATTACTTTATTATACTATTTATGTACTTGTGTTAAAATATTAAATTGTTAATTTTTAATTAACAAGCGCAATTATATAAAATAATTGTTATTCTTCTAAAACGAAATGTTAAAAGAAAAAAGACTTACGTTAGTGAATGTACGGCGCTTGGGATTTTTAAAAAATGTGAAATACTCGAGTAATACGATTACGTTAAACTGGAACGTTTTGTATTTTACAAAATATTGTTTGAAATAATTTCACATTATTAATAACGATTTAAATCGTTAATTAATATAGAGATGAAAATACAAATAAAAAATATATCGAATTTAAACGAATAAAATAATTAAATTTATTTTATTTTAATCCTCAATGATGGAATGACAGGCAGTTAGTGGATATTGCAGGGAGTTAGTGGATGTATTGGTACAAAAAAAAATTTATGGCAGTTTATATAGGGAATTGTTTATCGTATTTTTTCGTTATTTATATCACCGCGGGATATATTTAGTATTAAATAAAGTCAAGACGTGTATTTTCATGATTGAGAAATAGTCTAAGAACATTTTTTTACGAAAAAAAACCAATTTTGCGGTTGGCTTGAGTGTAAAGAAAGTAAAGTAATAGTAAGCCGCATTTGAAACGAGTATCGATATATGCATGTATGTATGTCATTCCATTGCTGAAAATTTACAAAACAAATCTCAGTGTTTCCACAATCTCACCTCAATTGCGATAAGAGGCAACGTGTAAAGATTTAAACCACCGCTTCCGAGTAACGTGGATGTAATGGATGTGACAGAAATTGTGAGATATATATTTGAATATTACTTAGTTATCTACAGTGTGTGCATTTTCATTTAAAAATTATTAGATTGTTATTAAAGAAACCGATTTCTCTTAGGGAACATGTGTTGAAAAATGTCAAAAAATGTTCAGCATCCCGGAGTAAGGAATAAGTTATTGTGAATTGTGCTTACAATACGCTGTTTTTTTATAAGATAACAATGGAATGGTAACCCTGGTATTAGGTTATTATCAGAGAAACCGATTTCCCCGAAGGAATATGGGTTGAGAGAAGACAAAAAACGTTAAGTATCTCGGAGTAAGGAATAGGCCACATATGGAATACTGTTTTCACCTATGGGCAGGAGCGCCACAGTACCAGCTCCTTTCGTTAGACCGCATTCAAAGTTGGGCGGCTCGAATTGTTGACGATCAGCGCCTTATTGTCCGACTCGATCCACTGAAACTGCGTAGAGATTTTAATTTTTATTATACAATATTGGAAATAAGCAAGACAATTATATAAGTAATTTATTACCAAAAAGAATGGAAACATTTTTATACTAAATTTAATACCCATTGCCTAATATCAAAGGGGAATGTTTTCGGTTCTAATTATCAATAAATATAAAAAAAAAGTGATAAATTATAATTATTTTGGAAGCTTTCGATTTTTCTTTGTTCCTGTATTTACTTAGTGCTTAATAATGTAAGAAAATATTGTGACAAATATGTATTGGTATTTCAAGTGTTATTAATGTTTGAACGTCATTTATAATGTAACAATGTGAAACAAAAACAAATCAAATTTCTGTTATTATATTAAAGTGTAATTTCATAATTGTGTAATATTTATTATATGTATTTTATTATTTAATATGTACTTATAAAATTTTGTCATGATCGTCATATCTGGCCTTAACTGTCTATTGCTGAGCATCAGATCTGCTTGTTTGCCATCATAGTTATATATAAAAAAACGTAGGCCTCCCCTTGAGGGAGATTTGGCCAGTAGTTGTCATACTTGGCAAATGTAGTTAGGTTTTGATCATGTTTTAAGAGGGACGCTGCTGCCCATTTCTTGACTACTAAGTTTCCTTACTTACTTCTTCCGACGTCTACGAGAAAGGAAATGATTCCCCATTTTATGCCAGGATCACACGACTGTTTTGTCATAATAATAACTAATGCAATGAACAAATAGGCACACCATACTCAGATCTAAGTTTAACAAAGTTTACATTTTTTTATTTCAGTTATTAATCACAATATATGTAAGAATCGCCCTATCAAAGAAGTATATCTTGTCTTCTGATGAGAGCTTCGAAAATATGATTTACTATAAGGATTGTAACCATAAACATGCTACTGAAGCTCCACCAGCACACAGAGATGCCGAGCATACCCCTCCACCACGCCCACAATGTCTATTTCCCAAAATGTGTTGCAGCATGAGTTGTGAAAATGAATGCGTTAGTAATTCTCAACAGAAATCCTTCATGAGTAGACAGATGGAGCCACTGCAGGATTTATTACCACCCATGCAACCAGTGCCTCCCCAACTACAACCAGTTCAACCTCAAATTCAAAGAGGAAGAAAGAAGAAAGTAATGCAACCGAAGATGCAGCCACCTATAGGCGGCAGAAGAGATTTCGGGTTTACAAAAGAGCGTATAAAGAGTTTGATCTCTCAAGACGAGGATATACGGAAGATATTAAAGGATCTGGTAAGGGTTACGATGCAAAAGGTGGATTTGTTGGAGATGTACAACGCTAGACGGAATGCAAATATTAAAAATGAAAAATCAAATTACAGCGATGAAGAATATGAAGATTAGATTGAAATTGCTCAAAAATGCAAATGGATAGATAGTAAAAACTGTATTAATTACTGTACTTCATTATCGTTGTATTTGTAAGTGACTTCAAAATTATTAGCTCTCCAAATGACTTTTATTTTTTATTAGCAACGGTATTTTCGCCAATTCTGAATTAATTTTGATAATTATTCTTCCATTGAGGAAGGGCCAAATTAAAAGTACCCGTAACCGACGAGCGTGTATGAAAAGATTGATGAATGCGGAGGAAGCGAAAGAGGTCTGTTTGAATCGAAGCATTTGGCGTTCCATTATTTTTGTCTACTCTAATGGGAGACAGGTGTGACAATTATGTATGTAAGAATAGGGTTTAACCATGTGTGTTTTTTTATTACCTAAATTTTGTCTCGATTGTAGTAGCTCTTTTGTTTTTTTTTTTACAAGATTATAGTGTTCTAATCATTTAGGTAGTAAAAAGACGTACCCTATAGATCGCCGTAAGGAATGGTCATAAGTTTTCTCCATCAACTTGATTCCTGCAATACATTTAAGGTCATATGTAGGTAGATAGATAGATACTTTTTATTGTTTCCTTCTAAAGATTACAGTAGTAAACTTATATAGATATAAACAATTACAAAAACTGTTCACACTGAGAAAACAATAGGCTTTATCGCTAAAAGCGATCTCTTCCAGGCAATCTTTGGATGGAGAGGATTAAGTACGTATAGTTATGTATTGCAGTATATATATATATATATATATATATATATATATATATATATATGTGTGTGTGTGTGTGTGTGTGTGTGTGTGTGTGTGTGTGTGTAGAAGACATTCTATATTGCATTATATATACGTTATATATAAAATATTAAAGTTATTTCTTTAGGAGAAAATTAAAAAAGTATCTAAGGAATAGATATTCAAAGTATTACATCGTTTTGAAAGAAAGCATTATTGAAACATTATAGAACAAGAAAAGAACTGAAACGTTCATGTTAATATAGAAATTTGGGTATTCTTTTATTCAACTTGGAAATTTAAACAACGTCGGAGTCGTGCAGAATGGCTTTGGGGAGAGTTTTGTAGCTGGAGTTACTTCTAGCAATTATCATGTATTAAACGGATGTCGGTTGGTCCCTCAGGATTGTAAATATTAATAGAGTGATGCAAATTTATGTGGAAATTGCACAGTATTAGAGGAGTTTATTTGAACTGTAGTGAATTATGGCGTCCTCTGTGTTGAACGTCATTCCATATTCATATGAGACTAGTCATTGCTGTTATAGTCTTTAATAAGTAATAACATAATTATATATTTTTTTATTTAATGATAATTGGTCTATTATGAAAAGAACTTGGTGTTGTTACGAAGTAAGAAGACGTGTTACTTTTCTTCAGTTGAAAAATGTTTAAAGGCGACTAAGGGAACAAAGCAGAAAATACCAATAAAGAACTCATTGGTTACTATGAAACATGCTTGCGAGCCCAGTGTCGTAATCATTGCTTAGTTATTTAATTAATTAATTGTATACCTTCGTTTTGTTGAATAAAAGTTATTATTATTATTATAAGAAAAGGAATTTTCGGTATGAAAATCTACACCAAACAATTTGGCTTGTGAGGTATTTTTTATGCAACTTAGGCTTATCTTATGCTAAGATTATACAATATACATACATATTCAATGACAGTGTACCAGGGAAGGGTACCTACGTGTATTAATTAAATACATTGTAAAAGTTTTTTTATGCGACTTAGAATGGTAAACAAACTGACGGCCCATCTGATGGAAAGTGGTAACCGTTGTCTATAGACATGAGCAGTACCATAGACATAACAGAGTATACTGATTCGCCTATTATACCCCCATACGTTGCGATTCTTGAGGATTAAGGTGTTATGACTTTGTATCCTGTAATTTCACTGCCATATCATACTCTTGAAATCGAAACAATAAAATATTAATAAGGTACTATTAGGCCAATATTATTTTCTCTTAAAGAGAGACCCTTGCCCAATAGTGGGACTATAATCGATTATTATAGATTATTAATAACTTATGACACTGAAAATAATTTTCTGAAGCATCTTATGAGCGGGAAAAAGGTGTAAGTTATTGAGAGATATATGCTAAAAGTAGAGTTGCGCAAGAGTTTCTATGCAGTTTAAAATTCGAAATAAAGATATTCGCAGAAGAACCACTTATTCGTCTATTTGCTCAAAAAGCCGGAAACTGATGGAGATCAAATGTTTTAGGAAGCAGTAAGCAAGTTGAAGTCACAACATGTTTGCTACATTATTCGAAAGGTCGATAACCGATGACGATGGAATAGATAGATAGATAGATACACTTTATTGTTTCCTCCAAAAGATTACAATAGTAAACTTATTATAAATATAAATAATTACAAGAAATAATCACAATGAGAAAACAATGGGCGACCTTATCGCTAAGAGGGAGAGGAGTAATTATAAACAATTTGGTAGGAGGCACGATAAAAAATTTTTTGGAATGTTCTCAATTAATAGCTCAGTACTTGTATATATACTCAAAGAAAATCGAGCAATCCGTTTTATTTGCTCATTGTCAAAACAGTACGATATAAAGTATGGTGTAAGGTGTGTCCAGAAGGTAGTATTTTCTCTTTTGTAAAGACAATAGAGGGTGTTATTTTCAAGGGCAGCAAATATTATGTTTGCCCGGAGCGGCGATATAGCTTGTCCGGCCCTGAAGCTGGCCGTCATCTTGTTTGTATTCCAAATTAGCTTTTCTTTTTTTTTAATCTGTAGGTAATGATTTAGGAAGTAGTAAAATCAATGTTGAAATAAAATACACTATACCTACATGGTATATCAAGATAAAACATGCACCAGATTTTTAGCTAGATCCTTAGAAACGCGATTTTTAAAACCGTATCCAATTAAGTGCAGTAATTTTTTGCATGATGCTGGAATAAACATCACTACATACAAATTTCTATAGTTCTTGTTAAAACCCCCCATTGCCTATATTTCTCTAGTTACTATTTATTATTAGTTAGTAGGATAGTAGGTATAAAAACATCACTCTTTACGATCTAGCTACGATTAAAAATGAATATTAAACGAAAAAGCAATATGTGGTCGCTTAAATTTTGTATTTTTGCGGTGAAAAACGTGCTCTGCAACGGTTTAAGAATCTATCTGAAAATAAAAGAAATAGGTTAAATTCATGCGATCCAATATAAGTTTGGGTTCCGTACCTTTTTTCCTTGTTGTTCTTTTATTATTATTTTTAATTGAGTTAAAATTTTCCTTTTTTTTTTTATACAACTTAGAATGGCAAACAAGCTGACGGTCCACCTGATGGAGAGTGGTAACCGTCGTCTATAGACATGAGCAGTATCATGGCCATAACAGAGTATACTGTCTCGCCTATGATGAGGGAGACTTTGTACAAAAGTCGTTTGCTTGGGTACCTCTGTCCCATTCGTATTTCAACCGTGAAGTTGTGTTTGCATGGCTGTATTTCGGTTTAAAGGGTAGGATATGGAATGAATTTACAGGGTACACCTGAGTCCTCAGGAATAGCAACGCATGGGGGGTATCATGGGCGAGACAGTATACTCTGTTATGTCCATTGTACTGCTCATGTCTATAGGTGACGGTTACCACTTTCCATCTGGTGGGCCGTCAGCTTATTTGCCGTTCTAAGTTGTATAAAAAAAAACCCACACTTGGCAGGTAGATTGGCAACTGCAGTCAGGTTTTAGAGATGTTTTAAGAGGGACGCTGCTGCCCATCCCTTGCGCTCTCTTAGTCAGCTCTTATGACATCCACAGGATAGGAACTCAGAGGCCTATTACATACCGGGACCACACGGTTTAGTTTATAATATTAGTAAGGATTAATATCCAACGGAACATCGGTTGTATAAGTACGATTCACACTTGTCCAGTTATCATGTTTTAGATGCAAACTGGTACTACTGCTCGTAGTTTAATATTTCTCAAAGTGGATTTGAAAATGGAAATAGACATGAAAATAATTTTGCTATACCTGCACTCCCACTGCTGTATCCCTATAAGCTGTATTGCCAGATTAGGCATTTTTCCCCGATTTTGGGTAATGATTTTTAAAGATTTTACTTATCTATACGTAGATTGTTTACATATGTAATCTAAAATTGTCTATCTTTTGTGTTATTATCTATGTTTGGTTTTTATTTATAAAATTAATGCGAATATATTAGGTAAAGAATGTTTCACCAAATTGAATGCGGTTTCGATAGTTGTGTTTCTCATGGTATAATGTAAAGTCGAGTATGTTTTACTTTTATATGTAAAAGTGATGTGTTGCCATGTTTGTTTTTTATTTATAAAATTAATGCGAATGAACTAGTTGTTAAAGACCTTGTCGTGCTTATTGATTACTAGTAGATACAGTATTTTTATATTGTCTATGACTACATTTAAATGAAAACTATTATGGTTTGGTAGTATACTGTCACTACTTATTGGCTGGAAAGGTATTGGGTTCGGATCTGACCAAAAATTTCGTGTTAATTTCCGATTGACTGTTCGGTTCTATAGGGATAGTGGACAGTTCGTCTGCAGTCAGTTAGGGTTCTAAGATGCTTGGTGAAATGTGGGTAAGTTGAGTTATACATTTATCATAATGACAACAATCGACAACAGTTTTAGAACGGAAAACGGAACCCTTACAGTAGATATTTCCTATTTTTGAATAAAAAACGCAATATTACATCTTCTCTGGATATCGCTTCACACTCCCGACGCCATTGCCGAATCACTTCGTTGTCCGACCGTCCGTTCCTCCGTTTGTCAAAACCCTTTTTCTTAGGAACGTGTGAAGGTGTCAAGTTGAAATTAATATCATATACTCAGGTCTGCAATCTCTTAAAGCAGTGAAAAAATCAAGTTTTTAAATCGATGCAATCAGAAAAGACGGCCGTTTATGTTTCACTTATACCGCATATTTTGACATTCGTAAAGGGAATCATATTGAAACTTCTTTGTGGCCGTAATGTAAATTTAAGTCTGGCCACATATATATGTTGAT